CGGAAGAACTGATCTTAATTAACTTTAAAACACCATTGGAAATTTTTTCTGTAACAAAATGCAAATCAATCTCAAAATGCTTTGTTCTTTCATGGAACACAGGATTAAGAGCTAATTTAATTGTTGAATCATTATCACAAAAAATAGAAACTGGAATAAGTTCTTTAACTTCTAATTCAAACAAGACTTTTAATACCCAAATTATTTCACAAGTAACAGACCCTATAGCTCTATATTCAGCTTCAATAGAAGATCTAGAAACAGTAGACTGTTTCTTACTCTTCCATGATATAAGGCAATTATTAAAATACACCATGTATCCTGATACAGACCTTCTAGTAGTTAAACATTTTGCCCAGTCTACATCAACATACCCTTTTAATTCAAAGTTATCTGATTTAGTTATTGCAACTCCTCTTCCATGACTACTTTTTAAGTACCTTAAAAGTCTAAAAGCAATTTTCAAATGAGATTTCCTAGGTTTGTGCATAAATTGACTTAGTACTTGAACAATATAAGAGATATCACGTCTAGTAACTGTTAGATATATAAGTTTACCAATAAGTTTCTGAAACTCAGTTTTATTATCTAATAGAATATTACCCTTATCATTTTCATCAGGGTTTATCATGAAGTTTGTCTTTAATGGTGTATTTATAGGTTTACACCCAAGCATACCATACTCATGTAACAACTCTAAATAGTACTTTCTTTGATTTAAACATAAGCCATTATCAATGTTTACCACTTCAATTCCTAAAAAATATTTAAGAATACCAAGGTCTTTAATCAAAAACTGAGTTTTCATAAAATCCTTAACTCTTTTTAACTCGGTTTCACAATTACTAGTTATTATAATATCATCTACATACACAAGTAATACAGTTATTGTACCTTCAAATTTCCTAATGAACAACGAATAATCATTTATACTTTGTTGAAAACCAAACAAAAATAAAGATGCACACAGTTTCTCATTCCATTTCCTGGGTGCTTGTTTTAAACTATATAATGATTTAGTGAGTTTACAAACCTTAGTATCATTAGCAGAAAAATATTCTCGAGGAAGGGACATATAAACATCCTCTGTGGGATCACCATAAAAGAAAGCATTATTTATATCTAATTGATATAAAGGCCATGAATTATGTACAGATAAAGAAATAATAATATGCACGGTAACAATTTTAGCAACTGGAGAAAAAGTTTCCTCAAAATTTATTCCTTCTCTTTGATTATAACCCTTAGCAACCAACCGTGCTTTATACCTTTATACTTCACCATTTGATTTATATTTAATTTTGAAAACCCATTTACAACCAATTGGTTTTATGTTTTTAGGCAAATTAGTTATTTCCCAAGTGTGATTTCTATGAAGAGCTTCCATTTCTTCATTCATAGCCTTAACCCAATTTGGATCAGATAAAGCTTCTTTATAATTTTTAGGTTTAATAGATTTATTTAAGTTTGCCACAAAACATTTTGTATCAGTATCAAGAAAAGAATAATTAACTGACCTCTCTATACCATACTTATATTTCCCTTCAACAATATAATCAGCAAATTTAACTGGCATATGTGACTCACGCTTAGATCTAGAAGCACCTAAAGACTGCTCAACTGAGGGAACTAAGGATGAATAACTATTTTCCTCAGACACACCTGAAGAAGAAGAAGCAGAACCATCTGTAGGAGGCACAGTTGCCTCGCCGCTACGGTTCACAGTCTCAATAGAGCTAACATCATTCAGGTGAATGGCTACATCTACACCATCCAACTGAGACTCTACTCTCAACTCATCAGGATTGATATAATCATTCAAATAATCATTAGTGTCAAATACATCATAGGAAAAAGGATCACTAGGGCCAAAAACATCTAAAGTTTTATCAACAATGGTTGATTTTAACTTGTAAGGAAATACAGATTCATAAAATTTCACATCCCTGGACATAAAAGAAGTGTTAGTGTCTAGACTAAGAAGTTTATAAGCCTTTTTATCAGAAAAATATCCTAATAAAATACATTTTTCAGCATGTTCAGAAAACTTATCAATAACATTTTGTTTAACAGCAAAACAGAGACAACCAAATACTCTTAAATGATCAAAGTTGGGAGTCCTTTTAAAAACAAGTTCACAAGGAGACAATCCATTTAAAACAGATGTAGGCATTCTATTTATCAAAAAGCAGATGTTAAAACTGCATCTCCCCAATATTTAACAGGAACTCCTAACTGAAACATAAGTGATCGTGCAACATTGAGAATATGTCTGTGCTTTCTCTCCACAACTCCATTTTGTTGTGGAGTATAGGCACAAGATGTATGATGAATGACACCATGTTCTATGCAAAAAAAGTTCATTTGATTATTCACAAATTCAGTACCATTATCAGAACGAATAGTCTTAACATTAACATTAAACTGATTTGACAGAATATTTACAAACGATTTAAAACAATCAAAAACTTCACTTTTAAATTTCAAAAGAAAAACCCAAGTGGCCCAAGTAAAATCATCCACAATAGTAAAAAAAAATACTTAAACCCCTCAACTGAAGCAAGTCTATAAGGTCCCCAAACATCTAAGTGAACAATTCACCAAGTTGACTTGACCAATGTTGACTCAAGGAAAAAGACTCTCTAGTCTGTTTGGCTTTATGACAAACATCACAAGGAGGAAGAGACTCATTCCCAAGTTTTAGTTTATCCTTTAATGTGTTTAAAGCCTGGTCAGCTGGATGACCAAGTCTACTATGCCAAGTTAATTTTGAAACACAACATTTAGAGTTAGTTAAAATAGCAGAATTACCCGAGGGAATGTAATCAAGATAATACAATTCCCCAGATTCTCTACCATTCTCCACCATCTCCTTTGATTGTGTATCCTGAATTTTACAATTATGCTCAGAAAACACTACCTCACAACCATTATCCTTACAAAGCTTGTGTACAGACAAAAAATTGACATTAAAATCCGGAAAAGCAAACACATCAAATAAAGTAAGATGAGAGGATAACTGAATATTCCCAATCTTATTTATAGGTGCAGAAGACTCATTAGGATGTTTTACAAGAAGATTAGGTCTAGACACATCCACTGTGTCTTGTAACTGTGACTCAGAGGCTATCATATGTTGATTTGCCCCAGAGTCAACAATCCAACTATGAGAATTACTTGAACTAACAAAAGAATTACAACATTTAAACACAGAAGTACCTGCCATATTTGCTGCAGTAGGTACATTCTCACTAGTAGAACTTTCACTAATGAGACGAAGAAACTTGGAATATTGATCACTTGTAAGATAGTGAACATCACTACCATGAGCAGACTTAGAAGGAACTACAGTATTACTATTAGAACCAACAGAGGATGCATTTAAGAAAAAGATTTATTTTGAGTATTACTTTCATTTTTTTGTTTAAAATCTTTTGGATAACCAATCAATTTATAACATCTTTCTATTGTATGACCTTTAAAATTACAATGTTTACACGGCAACCCCTGATTTCTAGACCTATTTTTACTCTATCCTCTTTTAAAATCAGTAACCTTACTATTAAAAACAGAGACGTGTGGTTTAGATGAGGTATGAGATCCCAAAGAACCATTCTTTTGAAGAGATTCTTCTCTAGAAAGAATAGAAAAAGCACTTTTGACATTAGGTAAAGGTTCCATTAAAAGAATGTGACTCTTAACTTGATTATATACCTCATCTAGACAACTAAAAAATTGCATTAGTTTCATTAATTTTGAATGATCACTAAGCTTAGTAGCAGCCTCACACACACATTCAGTTAAACTAGTTAAACCATCAAACTCCTTCCATAAATAATCAAGTTTACTGTAGTAATCAGAAAGAGAGGAGCCATTCTGTTTTAAGGTGTTAATTTGTTGATGGATATTAAAAATCACAGAACCATTAGCCTTATTATAAGTCTCAAACAATTCATCCCAAATATCTTTAGCCTTATCAGAATAAACATGACTAGCATATATAGTTTCAGAGATTGACCCTAATATCGAATTACACACAACAGCATTAACACGTTCCCATTTAGCAGATTTTGATTTATCAGTGTTTTCAAGAGTAATAGTACCATCCACAAAACCTAATTCATTCCTAGCCTTAATACCACGAGACATAGCACTACACCACAAGCGATAATTTTCATTACCAGTCAACTTAATTGTTATTATAGATGTAACTGCATTATCAGTGGGATGAACATATAGAGGATCATCAAAAGCAAGATCTAAACACGTACAACAACCTGCAAGATGAACCAAAACTCTCGCAGTACCAGGATCTCAAATAATCACCCCAAATAAGGGAAAAATAACAAAAAAACAAAGCCCTAAATCAACTCAGATCAAGAACGGAAACAAACTTAACAAACTGGAAGACAAACCTTCACAAATCGTTGAACGACGAACACCACAATTGAAGCGTCAGGATAAAAAAACAACGAGCCTTACAGCTCTGATACCATGTTGAAATCAGACAAAATAATTTTCCCAACATCTTCATTTCTTATATCATTAGAGGATTAAGAAACAAAAGGTTTTCACAAACTTACAATAGAAACCTCACTACATAAACCCTAATCTACACTCACAACTTATCACTCAAAACCTAATCTAATCAAACAACTGATATTACATCAGAACGAAATATTCAACTCATCTAGATCAAAACAAGACAAGGAACACACTAGCAAGATTGAGAGAAAAACAAGAGAAAACCTGAATCGTATTAACTGGAAGATAAGAGATCATCTACAACTTCACTATCTCTCTCTTCTTTTATACCAAAATCTACATATACGGATCTAACCCGACCCAAGACCTTGACCCGTGCCTTTTCCTTCCCTGTATTTACAACTTAATCCAAGAAAACATATTTTGTGTACAATATACCCTCTATTTACTTTATAAATAAATATGAGATTGTTTTATTATTATTTTCAACAAAAATCATATATATACACAACATAGTGAGTTCCTCATGTTATAAAACATAAATTTCTATCCAAGTAAATTACAAATTTTTGGTCCCACAAGTTCAGCCAAAATGCAAACTTTAAAGACAAACACTGTGGCAATTCAAAATTTGATAACACATGAACGAATGACTTGTAAGTAATATCTGCTGATGTAGGTTTTAGGCTCAATAATTTCCCTTCTTGTGCTCGAAGATCATTTAAAATATCAGTGTCAAAACATGTTGCAAAGCAAACCTGCCAAGGACAATATAATCATTTTTTAGAATCTGTTATGCTAACTTGAGTGAATGAAAGTAGACACGTACTTTTACTGTTTCTTGCTCGAACAGAAACATGAAACATGACATCTGGCATGTTGGGTGTGAGTACAAAAACTGTCCCATTTGGTATTTCCTCTTCTCCACTTACACTTTTTGCAACTAAAATAGTTGGCTTTTCATAAGTTTTGTTTTAAACAGAAAGTAATTCATCAACCACCACAATATATCCAACTGCTTCAACTGGACTGATAACCTGCCAGCTGTACACATAATGAAATTGAGTATTTAAAAGATTAACATAAAAATGTTGAGAAGTTGTATAATAAGTTAATAATAATAAGAGTAAACTAAGACTAACCTCCCTAAATTAGCGACACTACAGAGAATAGGGTCGAGTCGAATCATGAGTGATGATAAACAAGCAGCTGATGCTGAACGGATCATTTCTTGGGTGAAAATGCTGACCTGGAAATAGAATGATTTTAAGAATTAATGAAAAAAAAAGTAATTGAAATCTGAAAACATTGTGCAAAACATGATATTCATAAGTTTCATACAACCCATTGGTCTAATCCAAGGAGTGCTCCCAGGTACTCAGCAGAAGGTTGAAAAAGTTGATGGTAGAAGTCTCCTTTGCTAGCAAGAGCAAGTCGAGTTCTATCAAGGACTGATTTTGCAAATAAAGCCCAATCATTCTCTCCACTTTTCAACATGGTCAGTGCTTGATCCCATCCCTTCAAAATATATATTTAATTAAAAAAATAATTAGAATCCTACTTTCATTTAAACAATAAGTTAACATGAGCATAATCAGACATTACCTTCCAGCAATAGATAAGATCTTCGTTGTTGTCTGATCAAAGTATGAGGTTCTCAAGAAGAAGAGTGACAAGATACCTAATTTTCTGTGAAGTATTGAAAATTTTAAGGCAAAAATTTATTCAAATAATAATGAACTTTTAGTTGATTAAATTAAATACCTCTGGATTGGCGTTCTTTAACTCTTCATAGCTTCTTTCAATGGCTGTTCTTACAGTAGAATCAAGGGCAATGTCCATAAAAACAAGATCCTTGAGACGATCATTTGATGTAGAAAGTAGCGGCTTAAGTTCTGCACGTGCTTCTAGCAGTCCCTAAATAAAATAAAATTAAAATTATTTATATTGTTTGTTATAAACACAAACTAAAGACGCGATAAGAAAAAACTGAAGTACCTCAAGAAGGGGTTCCACGTTCTTATCTTCGACATGCTCCAGGACAAATTGAAGTAATTCCTGTTTTACCCTTTTGTGAGTTGAACTTGAACAATGAACAATGAACAGAAGCTTTTTTGGAGTTGAAGAAAATATAAAACTTACAGGAAAACCAGATGGCAAGCCAGAAATCGGATTTATTTTCACGCCAACCATGAAGCCTTTTCCCTGAAAATAATAAATTAATGTTTTTAAGTCAAGCATTTTGTCAATAGAACAAGATAAAGATATGAATTCAAATTCAGACACTACCTCAGATCTATAGTCCATGTAGTTTGAAATTGCAGACTTCAAGATCAGCACCAGAATGAACTACCTGCATGAAAATGAAAGTGGGATTAGAGTCTTGTAAAAGATATAACAAAAAATAAAATTACATGCAAGTTTAACCTTTAAGGTTCTCATGTAGTTTCCAAGATCACGCAAAAGCCCCTCCTTTTGGTCGCTTGTGAACTTTGGTTCATTGCGAATGGGACTATCATAACTTAAAAGTCGTTCTTTTGTTATTCCATTTGAATTCAATGTGTTCCAGTATACACCAATGTCCATGTCACTTTTGATATAATCAGTTAGCGCCTGACAGATGATTACGTCATCAGGGCTTGTGTTGTTATGCAACTTTTGATGCTATTCCTCCCTTGCAGTTATTCTTTTTCTATATTTAGGCCAAAATATAAAAGAACATTGGATTTATGGAAAATTAATGAGAATGATTTTTAAAAATTATTTTATGTATACCTGGACAATAAGGATTGCATCACGAATACATTGACCAACATCCCCTTTAGTTGACATGATCATACGATCGAACAAGTTGACTATATTGTGGATAACTTTTATAAACATTTTGAAGCAAGTCCACAAGCCGATCCTGAGCTTGGCTTATCTCACTGCACCAAATATAGCCATGAAAAAGGGCCCAAGGGGCATTTTGGATTTTCACCAAAATTGTAGCCCACAAGAGAAACGAGGATAAGTAAGAGTTCATTGTTTCTTTTTTACTTAATGGGCTTAATCTTTTAAGAAGTTAACCTGGAAAGCTATACATGACTATTTCTTTTTTACTTAATCTGGACATAATGACTTAATAGGTTAAGCCAAAAAACCTGGCTTAACCAAACTTTACCTTATTTGTCCCTTTTTCTTCCCAACTCCGCTCATGTTAAATTCATGAATGTTGTTAAAACTGATAAATATTGTAAAAATTGTTGGAATCTATGGCTAAAATGGTCAGTTAGTCTCATTCAGATGCCTAGGAAAGAAACAGACCTTATGTATACAGCAATTAATCCAGACAGACACCATAACAGGACATGATGAGAAAAAAAAGGCCCTAAGCACTGTAAGAAGCTCATTTTTACGCAGTAGTTTTTATTCCAAATAAGTTGTCTTGTGGCCATAAACCGCATCCAAACAAGAATGCTTGCAAGGCCTAACTCATCAGCATCCTTGGCTTCTTCCATCGGACTTGCTGCAATATTGAATCTGAGAGGAGCAGGAAGAAGAAGAACACATGATGATTGTTAGAAAAATTTCCTCATGTACATGTAAGTAAATATGAGAGATTTCAAGTGTAAACCTACGCATAAAAGACTTTTCAGCCTCACTTTCCAGTGATGCTATTTTCTCCAACAGGTCCTTGGTTGTACCCTTCCCATCACCAACATCCTTTATGAAAAAAAAAAGTTAAAATTAATGAAAATTGGGAAACAAATAATAAATGTCATGATTCTTGATTTTAAGATAAGCTAAAGAGTAACCTTTATTGCTTTCTTCGGCCCAGTGAAGTCAACATAAAAGTCTGAATCACTATCTTTACCCAATTTTCACCATGTCGAAGAACAACTGGCATCCCCACAAAAGTACCTTCGTCAATTTCTAATCCTAATGTCTGTATCTGCTAGATAGTAATTAATATTATAATAATAATTAGAGCATTCATTTTAAACAAAAGTTATCTAAAAAAAAGAATCAGACAAATTTTCTTCTTGGCAAACCTTGTTACTGGGATCATCAATAGAGATTGTAGAAAATTGTGTTTCAGCAGCCTTTTCTAAAGAAGTGGAACCTTCTGGTAACAAATTCACAGGTGGTTTCTACAATATTGTATATAATAATCTATTAGTTGCTTACTTAAATAGACAAGTGAATCACAATTTATCTAAACTTGTATCCAAATTAATCAAAAAGAAAAATAAAAACTTGCCAACCACTCCCTAGTTCTCTCTGACAATGCCCAGTGAAGAATGAGAGGCCCCTCCATGTCTGTTGCCAAATGAACTCTAGTCTTACCTGAAGCTTTTGTTACAAGTACCTTAAAAAGCAAAAAGTCTTTAGAATATGAAATTCAATAGTTGGCTTTCCTGCATGGTAAAAAGTAAAAAAGTACCAAAGAAACAAGAAAAACTTACCAAAAACTCTTTATCATAAAGTCTATATGTCTTTTTGTTCAGGACATCAGTGTCACTTTATTCTTCTACGTCTTTAGAGAAAAGCTGTAGTGTTGATAAAGTTTTTGGTTTTATGGTGTTTTTTTTCCTCCATGGACTTCAGAGTTACTGGAGTTGGTTTCTTGAGAAGTTGTGTTAAATCCCTCTTTTTACGGTTAATTCTTACAGGAGTGAAGTAAATTTTTTTCTCCTGCTGCTTTTGAACCTTTTTTTGCACGTCTCCTTTGGTAGTTTTGTTCCTTATGTCATCAACATAACTACCCTTTTCTAGTTCCCTCTGCAACTCTTTTCTTGCTTCTTCAAATTCTTTCTGTTACAATAACATCATGTCAGTTTAAAAAAAAAAAAAGAGATATGAAAATAGATATTAGCAAATCTGTAAGAAGTTATTAATAACTAGCCTTTTCTTGTTCAAGGGTATAGGTTTGTTTCCCATTTCTCTCCCATCTCAGATATGCTTGAATTTGTACAAGGTCTTCAGGAACTTCAACATTAGAAACTGGCTTCTCTCTCAAAGGCAACTTTAGATAAAAGTTTTGATCATTATCTTTATACCTACATGGGGGGAAAAGAATGATGTTGTAGTCAAATATGAACTTAAACACCAACAAACTTTGGAAAGATGATGACTTATGCTTACCATCTATTACGTCTTTCATCTACTATTAAAAACTGTATAGCTTCAATTGCAGGATCATCAATCTCTACTTTCAGAAAGGAATTAGAACCAGACTGGAGGAAAATAATGAACGGATATTACTATTCATATGAACCAGAATAAGAGATCACTGAACATGCAATTCATATTTAAAGGTAACCTGCTTTCACAAAGGGGGTTCTAAGAGCCTCATTGTTATACACTTTAGTCCCTTCAGAATGACGATTGGGAAGTACCCACTCCCTTGAAAACCACCAAAACCTTAAGAACATTAAGGAAAAGGCATAGACAAATTCTAATGAAAGTAAAATCCAATACTAAATTTACTATAAACAACTTACTCTTTTCTATTATGCATATAAATATCGATGATCAATGCTATTAGTAATTTGAATCTCTATTAGTGCAACAGAAGAAACTGTAACGTTGACCTGTAAAATTAAGAAGTAATGTTTTTTTTGGTATATGGAGTTCTAGGCAAACTCTATCTAATGACTTAATGAGAATCCAACAAATACAATGTCCGAGCATCTAACCAAACACATGTAATTTTCATATCAATATTGGTAGATACCTGCATCTCAATATTTCCTTCCAGTATGAACTTCCCTCCCAGCTGCTACAAGAAAAATAAGATTCCATCAAACCAGTGCATCTCAATGAGTATTTTCATGTCTTTGGCTAATTATTTCTAGAAAGTAGTGCTTCTGTGTATAGTTTAAGTTGTATATTTCTAGGAACCTTTTCCGGATACAGCAGTAAAGTCAACCTACAACTAGATAAAAATGTCTTCATATATATATATATATATATATATATATATATATATATATATATATATATATATATATATATATATATATATATATATATATATATATATATATATATATATATATATATATATATATATATATATATATATATATATATGTCCAAGAATCTACTCTTAGTATATACATAAACCAGAAAACAAGAATTCTATTTCTGTTTTCAGTTACTTTAAATGACAAATAACCATGCATTAAATTACTACATGATTTTCAAAAATTGTGCTAAAATTCCACTGTCAGTACCTATAAAATGTCCGTGTGTAGGTACTAGCAGAATTCTCAAGCTATCTAACTAAGGAAGCGTAAATTCTTACTCTATGAAAACAAATACTTTAGTTATATGATATTACCTGAGAAGCTGGATCGGTGGCTAAAACAGCTTAAGGAAGATCAGAAATTACACGATTTATGGGTAACGTCAATTTCCTCACAGTTACTCTCTGACCACGGAAATCGCTAGATAATAAGGAGGGCGAAGATGACGATGAGGACAAAGAAGAAGAAAACCTCTATATCTGAGAATTCGCTTGAGCTTGAAGTACGGTATTTCCATCAATGCCATTAGAATTTGTTTTGATTTGATGCTCTAAAATAGTTGGCCGAAGCAAACCATGCCCTACCGAACTGCTCATATCCCTTTTCCTTCAACTAATTAAGTATCACCTTCTAACAATTTATCGTTACACAACAAGAATCAGTGCTACCACAATTATCACTCTATACATATACATTGGTGATAAACATATAGTTCGCACAGAATTACGCACACACTATGAATTCACGCAAACTTATACCGTAACGAATCATAGAGATAGCCATAATTAACGTGAAATCGTGAAAATAAACAAAGATACAAAGAAATTGTATTTTTTTTTGATGAACTTTCTTTGAGATTATCAAATGAAGCGATGAATTGCGTTTAGGATTGATAAATGGGATGAAATCTTACCTTTGTTCAGGATTCTAGAGATATGCAATGTGCATGTGAATATCTCCAGAGAGTGGAGCGGAGTAGGATTGGTTGGAAGGAGCTTCGGGATTTGAAAAAGTTGAAATGGAGAAGGTGTATCATATTTTTTTTTTTTCAAAATTTAACGCTGGTACTCCAGTATTTATGCAGTTAGCAAATCCTACCCTCGTGTTTTATATAAGTAACAAAAAAATCCCTAATATGAGTAATGATCATGGCCATGAAATTCATCATGCTTGAGTGAGTATAATTTTTAACTAGCCAAGAACCATCAGGTAAAATAATAAAAGATATGACAACTAAGATGTGCTTCAATCCCCTAAGATTACGAATAAGTAAGGTAAGTATCATGTCAAAGAAATTCAAAATAGTTATTGGAACTGTGGTTTAGTTAACAACTTAACCTTGAAGTAAGATGCGTTAGTCTTGTGATCAACATAAAAGGATTAAAATCAAAGAATAGCAACATATTTTTCTATTTGTTTCACGTAGGTTTTCAATTGTGTATTAAATTGATGTACTTACAAAGAGTTCCACTTAAACTATGCAATGACTTTTGATAAATTTAGTGAATAAACTTTGTTGACATGCATGACATATGTATGATATGTATTTGATAAATCATTAATGGGTTGTTTGATAGTCTATAATCGAACAAATCTTATTAAATCAAGACTCGATTGAGTTATGGTACCAAATAGTCTAAATGCAATCGAATTAGATCCAACCTCTTATCAGTCTCAGTAAAATGCATATCAAACAACCCTTAAAGTGTTAAAGACTAAAAATAATATCATGTATTTCCATTTGTCCCCATTAGGTGACCTAAAATTTCTTGTACATACTATGTGATTGCACTTAAATATTGTTTCACTTAGATCATTTGTTACCTTGACCGACAGTAGGTTTTGCTTACATGACATCAATGTGACATGTATTTAACACATCATCATCTTTCGCATCCATCCAAATATTCAAGCCTTGGATTCAAATCATCCACAAATTCACTAGTTTTAATAAATGTGTATATGAAAATTAATTGTATGTTAGTTTTATGTAAGTTTATATTGATTTTGCTTATGAATAACTTGAAAACAACCTCATTTGAAGTTGTTTGAATCTATGTTGACATCGTTATAGTGATGGTAGCATTTAACTACCATCCTCAGTTACAAAATCATCATCACAATCATGATCCTATTCAAACCACTTTCCTGACTTCGTAGTCCTTACAATTTGCTTACATTGACAATACTTTGTATTGATTCAAAAAATGTCCTCATTTAGCACTAGTCCTGCACATACTTTACTGATCACATATCTTCCACCTATATTACATAACATATATTTTAATTTTCTTCTCTTCACTTTAGTTTTATTTGGTCTTCATGTTGCCATTCCTATAACAAAGTTTGGAGATTGGATCTATTTCTCTTTTTTTATTTGGATAAAGCATATATAGAGTGAGAAAACGTTCTAGATCGAAACCATTAGAGTTGGAATCTTTAAGTGTTGTTTCTCCACATCTGTAACTATGTTTCTTTGTTCCATTACTCCTTTCAGGTTTTATTATTAATATTTTCCGCCCTTTTGGTGTTTAAAATACTATTCATAAAATATTGGCAATCGTTAATAGTATGCGTACGCTTCGTGCTAACAAATAAGTTAACATAGTCATTGGACTTTTCCACATTACTTCGATTATTTATTTCTTTGTCGGAATCATTAACAGTTAAGCCTCCTCACATACTCTTTTTTAGTTACATACGCAGCTCTTATGCAAAACAAAATAATAATAATAATAATAACTAGAAAAGAGTCTCCCGCTTTGCGGGGGTTGGAAGCAATCTCTCAAATTTATCAAAAATAAATCACTAAAATTTCAAATTTGTAAAAAACATTTTGCAAAATTATACACTATTTGTCCTAAAATGAGTTAGTTATAAGCTATAACCATGGTGTAAAAGGACCTTGTTCTTTAGTGCACTGCATCAATCATGGGGGGCTGATTAATTAAGTTTAGTGTGGTTTGCATTGTTCTCCTTGAATACAATTGACCAAATCAAATGTATGAAAAAGATAGTAGAAGCTCCAACAAGCCTCCAAGTAGGACTATAACGGGTAGAAGCTACCATATCCATACATACATTGGTATATTAAAAAAAGAAACGAAAACAGATTTTAATGAAATAAACAGTTGTAAATGGAAAAAAAAAGCAGCTAATGCAGTCATCACCAAAATAACCATTATGCCCTTTTATCTCATTTGTTGAATTGTGGGTTACACTTTGTACCTTAAATTCACCTCCTTCAAGTGCCATCCAATCAACCTACAGATAAAAAAAAATCATGTCCAGATCTATTGATAAGCACCAAACACTACAAATGTATCCAAGAGGTTGTACCTTTAAAAGATTATGTAAAATTGTTTTGTAATAGCTACAAAAGACATATTTAGCTCCTTTAAGTGGCATCCAATAAACCTGAAAATATGGAAAAAAAAAAAAATCATAATCAGGCCATCTATTATAGTCATAAAAATTTGAGATAAACTGGAAACGAAAATCAATCCCACATGTGTGATTAATTACTTTGAAGGTGAAAGGGTTTCAAATGCATGTGGTGTTGGAAAATTTTTATGGGGGTTTCAAATGCATGAGATTTAAGAAAAAATACTAGTTTTATAAGTATGTAAAAAGTTCGATATATGTAAGGGTTAGTTAAAAAAATAAAAATAATAATAAAAAAGGTTTATATGTTGTGTGGCTTCTTAACAGCCAAAAGAGGCGTGTGACCTTTTTCTTGAAAAAGTAATGCATTTGACGTGTATATGGATATTAGATTAGATAGGCTTTCATTAAATTGTGTAATATTAGATTGGTGAACAAAATAGAAAGCCATAGGTCAAGGTAGAGCGGTATGTAGTAGGGATGAAAATAGGATCGTGTGTAAAAAGAAATTCCCCTTCTAGATCTATATAAATCAGTTTTGGATTGGTTTTGAAACTGTCAGGTTTTTTTTTTTTGTACGTTTTGAACAGTTTTTAGTCTTTTTTTTGGTACATTTTGAATGTTTTTTTTAACGTTTTGAATGGTCTTTAGTCTTCTTGTTTTGTACGTTTTGACTGGTTTTTTTTTTCGGTCTTATCTCAGGCTAGACTAGTTCGGTCATGTTATACGTCTTTGTTTTTTTAGTTCGGGTTTTGGATTTTTTTTCGGTTTGGAAAAGTTTCTGTCTCAATTTGCAAAAATATCACACCTTCCATTTTGATATTTTTGTTATTAACCTTATTAGTATTTGCTAAATAAAATTACTTAGGCTGTTATTATACTTTTGAAAAAAAGGATCATAAATATCTCACTAGTATTGGTAAAGAAAAAACAAATAAAAAGAAAATTTATTTATGGAAAAAACAAACTTACAAATTTAAGAGCTGACTTTCATTTTGATTTATTTAAAAAAAATCCAT